TATAGAGTGATAGTGAGTATACCCGGGGTAGCGGTGTATATAGAGTGATAGTGAGTATACCCGGGGTAGCGGTGTACATGGAGTATACTGGCCGCCCACGTGGGTCAGGGTCTCTGAGCTCTGTACCGGCAGATTATGATGGAGGCGGTCACGCACTCCTCCCCCCGGGCTCGGTGCGGCGGGAAATTCTTCCCTTCTCTCTCTCTCTCCTCCGGTTGCCGGGGCGACGAGCCGGAAGTCGAGCTCCGGAACCGAGCTCAGGTTCACCGAGCGCCGCCGGACGTGACGTCACCGTGGAGCCCTCGCCAGGCAAGGAGTAGGCGGAGCTTAGCAAACAGCGCGGTTAAAAGAGGGGTGTGGTTACAGATCGATAAAGGGGCGGGGCTTATTATCGCTGTAACACTTCGCTACGTAGCGAGTAGGTTGGACCAGTCAACTGCAGTAGGCGGGACTATAGCAGTAATTCGCAGAGAGTGGGCGGGGTTAGTACTTTGGGGCGTGTTGCTACGCTATGGGGGCGGGGTTAGAGGAACCCAGTATCTACAGGCAGTGCTTTGTGTCCATGGCAGAGGAGACTATGGGGGGCGGGGCTTTGTTATGGCATGGGACAAGGCCAGGGCCCAGGATGCATTATGGGAGATGTAGTTCTGCAGCAATCAGTATTGTAAGCCCAGGAGCAGCTACCACCCCTCCCCAAAATTAATATTTAATAAAAATAAAGTGTTAATGAAATCCAGTCAAAAGATATACTGAGACAAAGGAGGGACTTTATTATTATTAATATTATTTAAATTATATATTTTATATTAAATTCTGCAGCGCTCTTCCTTATCTCAGTATTTTTCCCACAGTCGACAAGCTTGAGAAAATAACGGAGCTACGACCGCCAGGCTTGACATCTCCCCCCGGCGTCCGTAATGGAAGGTGTCATGGGATCCTCTATAAACCAGTGTTTATCTCCTGTGCATGCGCGAACTTACAACAATGACGTGTGAGGACCATCAGGAAGAGCATGGTGGCAGCAGCTGCGAGGGACTGGTTCAGCTTAATATAACTCCTTATTGAGCACCTAGCAAAAACCAGACCCCCAAAGTCATCATCAGGGTCCTTACAAATCACGCAAAGACCCCAGACAGTGACAGAGGCTCTTTAAGGGTCTGGTTTGGTTGTGAAGCCTTTTTCCTGTATTACCCCCTTGTGGTAGAGGTCACAATGTAATAGACAAGTGCATAAAGTTTCTGAAGAATCACAAAATGATCACAGTTTACGTTTTTTTGGTCATTCGGTTAGAAAATAATTGCATTTTCAGAATGACTGAATATTTCAACGACCGATTTACATTGGTCATTTAGGGAAGCGCAGGATAACATTTGGCCAATCATAGGAGATTCAGTCTTTTAGCTAGTTATTTCTTTGTACTAATATTATTATTGGTATTTAAATAGCGCCAAATTATGCCACAGCCCTTTGCAATATTATAAAAGGGGGAAGGTCAACAATAAATTAGACAATTACAAAATGATACAATAGGTTGATGAGGACCCTGCGCAAGCAAGCTTACAATCTATAGGGGTGTGGTATAAAATCACAACAAGAAGGGCATCGAGGGGATAACAACCAATCGACAAGGTGGGAAATTAGCAGAACTGGAAGGTGAGAGGGAGTGTGGCCGTTTAGGAGAGAGGAGGAGACAGGTTTGTGAAATAGATGTTATTCTGGGATGCAATAAGATTTCCTGAAGAGGTTGGTTTGGAGGGACTTGGAGGTAGGCAGGCTGTTCCAAAGGAAAGGAGCTGCCCACGAGAAGTCCTTCAACTGCTTGTTAATAGCTGACCAGAGAAGGTCACCAGCAAAGCGGAGAGACCAAGAAGGGGTGTCTCTACAAATTAGTGAAGTAATGTAACAGAAGCTAGAGTTGTTTAGATCTTTATAGAAGGGTTAGTATTTTGAATTGATTCCAATGGGATACAGGAAGCCAATGTAAGAATTGACAGAGGGGGGGAAGTGTGAGAGAAGTGAAGGCCAGGCAGCAGCATTCATTACAGACTGTAACGAGGCATTACAACTTCTGGGAAGGCCAAGTAGGAAAGAATTTGTTGCCACAAACATAACCCCCAATAAAAAGCTATAGGAAATCAGCACAAAATACACCAACCTCAAAGGCCGAAGAGGCCACCATCTGTAAAACCCTAATAATCCACGAAGAGTGTCAAGGGATACCGGGCTCCGGAATCACCACCCCTAACAAACCCACAAATGATAAACACTTTAGAAACATCCTCTATGCATCCATGAAATGAAAGAGAAAGGAGAGAGAGACGAAAGATTCCTTTCCACTACTTTCCCAGAAAACTCTTGAACATACAGACCCGACAAGTAGGACAGGGTAGGAGTAACCCGGTCCGAACCCCTCCTCCACCACTATCCACGCTGCGCTATCCAAATCTTCTCGTATCCCTACGGGGCTTATCTACTATCTGAAACCACTCCCTCCAAATCGTCTCGTATCCCTACGGGGCTTATCTACTATCTGAAACCACTCCCTCCAAATCTTCTCGTATCCCTACGGTGCTTATCTATTATCTGAAACCACTCCCTCCAAATCTTCTCGTATCCCTACGGGGCTTATCTACAGACTCCTCATCAGACACAGTAGGAAAGAAAATCTACAAATTCCCCATGCAGGATGCTCTCCCTGACTTCCAAAGGAATCCCCAGGCAAAGGGGGAACAATTCACTAATGGGGATGGCGGCACCGCAGGAGCCGCAGCAAGTTCTGTCAGCACAGGAAAAGCAGGGGCCACACTAATGGAAGCAGAGGCCCGAGCAGGGGACTCGCCAAGCATTGAAGGAAACCCAGCAACTCTTCCCCAGGTGAACCCCAACCCCAGTAGACAGACAAGTTAGATAAAGTTAAGACAAAAGGGAATTTGGGGCACACCTGGAACATTTTTCAGGAATGGTGCTGCCATAGAAATCAAAATACATAAATAATACAGATTAAGGAACAGCACACACATAAGAATATTTTTTTACATTATAGAAGGCTACGTGAAATCACCTATCTCAGCAAACAAATATAGGGATTTAGTTCCATCATATGACCATATTGTGTGAAGCCCACCACTACTTCACAGTACCCAAATATCGGTGGGTCCTACACTAATTCCAACATGGGAGACAAGTTAAATAGTGCTAGAGCTAAATAGCTAAATAAGCTAGAGGGTATTTTAATAATCTGTTGTAAGAGCATTGTGAATATATATAAAAATTAATGTGATAAATGCAAAATTAAAAAAAAGCAGTGTTAAAGCTAAACAATTAAAGTGATAGTGCTTTGATGTATATACTCACAATGCACTACATAATCTCTATTCTATGAACATTACTGTCCTAACTACTCCAAATTCATTTTTCCAACATAAAAACTGGTGGGGTGCTGCCCCAAGTGCACCTATAGACAAGCCTTTCAAGGTTGTCACAGACAAGTTAAATCAAGCCACAGCAAGCTTTTGGATGGTGATTCCATTATTCAAGCTTCTAAACAACCACATGGAAGAAGTCCTACCAAATCGTGAGATTGAACCTGGAGTGAGGCTGCTTCCAGACATGAATGGTTTCATTAGTAGATTGAAGGCTGAATTGAAAGGTCACCTCCTTGTAACAGTGTCAGTACCTGTGTTCCGCAAAGATCCTCCTCCTTAGCTGGTGTTTGTAATTGTTGTGCTAAAGACAGAGAAAGTGGAAAAGCAACGGTTTGAGACCAGGTCCTTACCCGTGCCATGGTGGGTGGTACCAGTGGAGCCATATCATCCCAGAGTAGCGCCTCTGAAATGGTGGAATTATACCTTTCAGGACTTCTATTGGCTAATATTAAGGAGCCTATTTGTTACTGGGAACAAAAAACTGTCCAGGGCTTAGTTTGGTTACACAGTAGATACTGTATAGCCACCGATAAATGGGTGAGAGCACCTTCTCAGTTACTGGCAGCATCCTCAACCCCCAGAGGTCACAGCTCTCACTGGATTTAGTTGATAAAATTACATTTTTAAAATTCAAACTACCCAAATCTGGCTACCCGTCTCTACGTGTTAATACAGATTGATTGTAGACGAGCCTTTAGCCTACAGCTTTCAAGAGTGACGGCCACCTTTTCACCGGGCTCACATACAAACACAGTCTGCTGCTGTCGTCATGAGTTAAAATATCCCCCTTTTCTGGTTGTTGGGAGAGGAGTAATGAAATAGGGAGTGGGGTAGTGGGACACAGTAACAGAGGGATTGAGGGCCCTGCTCAGTAAGTTTACATGCTAGAGGGAGTGGGGTATAGTGACACAGTAACAGAGGGATTGAGGGCCCTGCTCAGTGAGTTTACATGTTAGAGGGAGTGGGGTATAGTGACACAGTAACAGAGGGATTGAGGGCCTGCTCAGTGAGTTTACATGTTAGAGGGAGTGGGGTATAGTGACACAGTAACAGAGGGATTGAGGGCCCGCTCAGTGAGTTTACATGTTAGAGGGAGTGGGGTATAGTGACAGTAACAGAGGGATTGAGTTCCCTGCTCAGTGAGTTTACATGTTAGAGGGAGTGGGGTATAGTAACACAGTAACAGAGGGATTGAGGGCCTGCTCAGTGAGTTTACATGTTAGAGGGAGTGGGGTATAGTGACACAGTAACAGAGGGATTGAGGGCCTGCTCAGTGAGTTTACATGTTAGAGGGAGTGGGGTATAGTGACAGTAACAGATGGATTGAGGGCCCTGCTCAGTGAGGTTACATGTTAGAGGGAGTGGGGTATAGTGACACAGTAACATAGGGATTGGGGCCCTGCTCAGTGAGGTTACATGTTAGAGGGAGTGGGGTATAGTGACAGTAACAGAGGGATTGAGGGCCTGCTCAGTGAGTTTACATGTTAGAGGGAGTGGGGTATAGTGACACAGTAACAGAGGGATTGAGGGCCCTGCTCAGTGAGCTTACATGTTAGAGGGAGTGGGGTATAATGACAGTAACAGAGGGATTGAGGGCCTGCTCAGTGAGCTTACATGTTAGAGGGAGTGGGGTATAGTGACACCGTAACAGAGGGATTGAGGGCCCTGCTCAGTGAGCTTACATGATAGAGGGAGTGGGGTATAGTGACACAGTAACAGAGGGATTGAGGGCCTGCTCAGTGAGCTTACATGTTAGAGGGAGTGGGGTATAGTGACACCGTAACAGAGGGATTGAGGGCCATGCTCAGTGACCTTACATGCTAAAGGGAGTGGGGTATAGTGACACCGTAACACAGGGATTGAGGGCCCTGATCAGTGAGCTTACATGTTAGAGGGAGTGGGGTATAGTGACACCGTAACAGAGGGATTGAGGGCCCTGCTCAGTGAGCTTACATGTTAGAAGGAGTGGGATATAGTGACACAGTAACAGAGGGATTGAGGGCCTGCTGAGTGAGTTTACATGTTAGAGGGAGTGGGGTATAGTGACAGTAACAGAGGGATTGAGGGCCCTGCTCAGTGAGGTTACATGTTAGAGGGAGTGGGGTATAGTGACACAGTAACAGAGGGATTGGGGCCCTGCTCGGTGAGGTTACATGTTAGAGGGAGTGGGGTATAGTGACACAGTAACAGAGGGATTGAGGGCCCTGCTCAGTGAGTTTACATGTTAGAGGGAGTGGGGAATAGTGACAGTAACAGAGGGATTGAGGGCCCTGCTCAGTGAGTTTACATGTTAGAGGGAGTGGGGTATAGTGACACAGTAACAGAGGGATTGAGGGCCTGCTCAGTGAGTTTACATGTTAGAGGGAGTGGGGTATAGTGACAGTAACAGAGTTGAGCTCAGTGAGGAGGAGTGGGGTATAGTGACACAGTAACAGAGGGATTGAGGGCCTGCTCAGTGAGTTTACATGTTAGAGGGAGTGGGGTATAGTGACACAGTAACAGAGGGATTGAGGGCCTGCTCTTACATGTTAGAGGGAGTGGGGTATAGTGACAGTAACAGAGGATTGACATGTTAGAGGGAGTGGGGTATAGTGACACAGTAACAGAGGGATTGAGGGCCTGCTCAGTGAGTTTACATGTTAGAGGGAGTGGGGTATAGTGACACAGTAACAGAGGGATTGAGGGCCCTGCTCAGTGTTTACATGTTAGAGGGAGTGGGGTATAGTGACACAGTAACAGAGGGATTGAGGGCCCTGCTCAGTGAGTTTACATGTTAGAGGGAGTGGGTATAGTTAACACACTCAGTGAGGGCCCTGCTCGGATTGAGGTTACAGTGACACAGTAACAAGAGGATTGAGGGCCTGCTCAGTGAGTTTACATGTTAGAGGGAGTGGGGTATAGTGACACAGTAACAGAGGGATTGAGGGGCTCAGTGAGTTACATGTTAGAGGGAGTGGGGTATAGTGACACAGTAACAGAGGGATTGAGGGCCCTGCTCAGTGAGTTTACATGTTAGAGGGAGGGGTATAGTGACACAGTAACAGAGGGATTGAGGGCCCTGCTCAGTGAGCTTACATGTTAGAGTGGAGTGGGGTATAGTGACACAGTAACAGAGGGATTGAGGGCCTGCTCAGTGAGTTTACATGTTAGAGGGAGTGGGGTATTGAGGGCCCTGCTCAGTGACAGTTTGACCACAGTGAGTTTACAGTGTTACAGAGGGAGTGGGGTATAGTGACACAGTAACAGAGGGATTGAGGGCCTGCTCAGTGAGTTACATGTTAGAGGGAGTGGGTATAGTGACAGTAACAGAGGGATTTGAGTGGAGTGGGGTATAGTGACACAGTAACAGAGGGATTGAGGGCCCTGCTCAGTGAGTTTACATGTTAGAGGGAGTGGGGTATAGTGACAGTAACAGGGATTGAGGTTAGAGTGGTTTACATAGTTAGAACAGTGGGGTATAGTGACACAGTAACAGAGGGATTGAGGGCCTGCTCAGTGAGTTTACATGTTAGAGGGAGTGGGGTATAGTGACACAGTAACAGAGGGATTGAGAGTGAGTTTACATAGTGACACAGTATTGAGGGGCTCAGTGAGACATGGGAATAGTGACACAACAGGATAGTATTAGACTAGTGACAGTTGACTGTGAGGCCTTAACTGACTTACATGTTAGAGGGAGTGTGTATAGTGAGACGTTGATTGGGGAGGAGAGCAGTGACAGTTTACATGCTGACACGTAACAGGGATTGGGCCCTGCTCAGTGAGTTACATGTTAGAGGGAGTGGGGTATAGTGACACCGTAACAGAGGGATTGAGGGCCTGCTCAGTGAGCTTACATGTTAGAGGAGTGGGATATAGTGACACAGTAACAGAGGGATTGAGGGCCTGCTCAGTGAGTTTACATGTTAGAGGGAGTGGGGTATAGTGACACAGTAACAGAGGGATTGAGGGCCCTGCTCAGTGAGTTTACATGTTAGAGGGAGTGGGGTATAGTGACAGTAACAGCTCAGTGAGTTTACATGTTTGGGGTATAGTGACACAGTAACAGAGGGATTGCTCAGTGAGTTTACATGTTAGAGGGAGTGGGGTATAGTGACACAGTAGGACAGAGGGGTTGAGACACAGGATTGTTCAGGGCCCTGCTCAGTGGTACATGTTAGAGGGAGTGGGGTATAGTGACAGTAACAGAGGGATGAGGCCACTAGAGTGAGTTTACATGTTAGAGGGAGTGGGGTATAGTGACAGTGAGTTTACATGTTAGAGGGAGTGGGGAGTGACACAGTAACAGAGGGATTGAGGGCCCAGCTCCAGTGACATTGATTGAGGCCCTGCTCAGTGAGTTTACAGTTAGAGGGAGTGGGGTATAGTAGTAACAGAGGGATTGAGGAGCTTACATGCTAAGGTGAGGTTAGTATTAGGTGGTGGAAGAAGGTGAGTAACTGTCTTTAGGGCAAAGTTTATAGTAGATGTGGGTATAAGAGTTAGAAAAATTCACGGGAGGGGGAATTTTGGGCCAAATTAGTGCAGAATTTGAGGGGCACATACACTCGGGGTATACTATGTATATGAGGAATGTTTGTGTGGTTGATATAAAGGTTGTACACATTCCATAGAAATATACATAGTAATAGTCCTTTAATTGCCTTTCTAAGTTTACTTATTAAGGAGGTATCTGTGTGAACTGGAAAATGTCCAAGAGAGAGTTCAGAATCAGGAGGGATTGATTGGTTTAAGAAACTGCTATGTCTAACAGTAGAGGCTGTCTTCCGGACAGCCACTGACGACGCTGCACATTTTCACCTTAGAGTCAGGAAAGCATTAAGGCTGACGTACGGTGGAGGAGAGGTGACACTGAATTGTAGGGGGACCCAGACTGGGTACTATACTGTCAGGAAAACCGATTTGCTGGTCCACTAATCAGCACTCAGTTTAGTTCAAAAGCTTTACATGTATAACAGTCAGCCAGAGAATGCTGACATGTGGGTATTAGTCAGTGTTACAATGACACAGTAGACATGCAAGATTGTAACTGTCATGTGAGTAAAATTTGTGCTTTATTTCCTAATGTCTCAGTTTGTCCACAGTGTTACATTTGTATGAATGATAAAGGGAAGTGTGGGAAATCCACCTAAACCATTAAGGGGACACTATAGACTACAGTTTAATGTATAGCAGCAGGCTGGGAGATATCCTGTAAGGTAAGTGAGTTCCCCTGACTTAAATGGACACTCAGACCCCTAGAGCAGTTTAGCTTACTGATGTGAGGGAGTGCAGCAGAGGTAGCAGACAGGAGCTCAGTGGAGATAACCTAGCAATTGCCCAGGGACTTTGGAGCTGCATTATAAACCCCCAATGACTACAGGTTATGTAAAATGTAAAAGTAAAAGCATGCATTCTGTCATCACTAAACAGTATTTTTTTTTTTTTTATTAGGGCAGTGGAGTGTCCCTTTAAGGTGGAGTTTTTACTGCATTTAGTGTGGTCTCGGTAGGTTATCAGGTTGTGAAGAGATACCCTGGGGTCTGTTCACTGAAGCAGGCATGGTATACAATTAGAATTCCTGGTTCAAAATGGCCTCCTTAGTGAAGCCTTTCCTCCTTCCCCATCACAGCCAGTCTTGGCAGTAATGGGGGAATAGCTCTATAGCAGAATGATGCAATATCGTGATACAATGCGCCGTGTGACATAACGTGAGAATTATATTCAAAGTGAATTTCAAATTCAGGCCAAAATAGCTGAGCTGGAAACATTCTCCAAGTAGGGATAATTCTAGTTTGACTACTTTGGCTTTACATTTGAAGTTATCTTTGAATTTATGACAATTCTACCTTTAGCGAATAACTCTGAGGGAGTTTATTCACTAAACATTAGATTACATAATTTAGGCAAAATATATACATTTTCAAATATTCTCCAAAACAACTATAGTCACATCATGGCTGTTTTAGGTTGAATTTTTTTAAATTTGTTCATCAAATCACCACATTTTTGTGTTTAGTGAATAAACTCCAAACTAATCAGATAATCAGACTTAAAAGTAAAATCTAAAATGCCTTTTCAGAATTCATATAGAATATCCACTATTAGTATATAAACCTCGATTAAACAAATATTTTCTGTAACACCCAACTAACTGACACTACCATAAATCGTAAGGAATTTGATGTCACAAACATGCTTGATTCACTTCCAGGATATAGTTAGCAGTAAATTGGATTATCAGTAATATAGATTTTATTAAAGCCTAATATTTATAACTAAAAAAGCAATTATCTTCATTTGGAGGGAGTGGTGATGACTGAAAATCACCTTGCTTCTGGAACATTCCATTTATTTCATTTTTTTTATCATAGATCTAATAATCTACAAATACCCTATCTGCATGAAATTCTCAGTAAAATCTCCTTCAATGATTCTCATTGGCAAGTAAGCCTGAAACTTTGCCAAACAGAACACTTTATGACGTGGCTCTGAATCGTCACTTGTGGAGGTATTTTTTCCGGGGATGCCAAATAATTTAGTATTGTTAAAAAGCATACACCCCTTGACGTTGAATGGCAACAAATTGGTTCATTGAAATCTCAACATTTTACTAATGAGGATTAGGCAACTGTTGGAGTATCACATAGATGGTACCTGGCCTATCTCTTTTCCCACAATGCTTTGGTGTCCATTGGCCCCAGTTTCTCAGTTAAGGTTATTTATCCACATGAGTGAGCAATATGTAGTGATGTGAGTGTATTCATCTAGTAAATATTCTCAGAGTACAGTCCCCATGTGTTTTCTCACTCTCATGATTTCTCTTGTTAGAATGAAGATTCTACGTGGTGGACATTCTATGAAGTTCCACCATTCAACCATCTCCTACTGGTCCTCCCACATTGAATTTGGGATGTCCTTGTAGGGATCCATGATTAGCCTTGCACAGCGGACAATCATCATGGCCAAAAAAACACAGAGAAGTAGGAATAAGGCAATGGCAAATCCTTTATCCACGTCCACGATGGGCAATAAGGTAGGATCATCCATGCAGAGTTCTCTACTCCTCTCCTCATCTGCATCAATAGGCTGAGACCTAGATGAAATAGACAAACGTTTATTCGATACCCTTGGTCATTGCTTTAACTAATGTAGAATTTTAACATATATAGAGGTCGAGACATTACTAGTACAGTTCTCACATACTCCAAAGAATAAGATAGAATTATCTTAGACACCCAAAGAAGACAACATACCAACAAAGCCTCTCAATTTCATCCCATTTTACAAGCCATGATGCTATGGTGGATGGTCTTGTGTCAAGGTTTAGGGCTGTGTACATAGGTTGACTGAAGAGGTGAAATAACATTTATTGGAAAGGTTTATGATTCTAATGGAGGGGGAAAGAGTCTCTTTTTCAGCCCAGAAAACACCTGTACCTTAGGTCTGTAAAAGGATTGGACTAAGATGGTAAGACTAGGCTTCTAGAACACAGATTGCTACAGTGGTAAGTTGATGTGATATATAACATTGTTTTATTGGTGTGTGGTCTTATTAGAAACTTTATGAATCTCACTTGTACACAGGAATGAGATACCTGCTGCTGATAGACATCAGATCCAGGACTTTGGTGGACCTTTCTGGTTTTCCAATATTACTACAGAGATCCAGCAGAGGAGGCAGGGGCTTGCATAAGGAACCCATTGCACTGAATTTTATAAACTCATCTTCTTGTATGCTAATTTTGGGGTACTTTTGATTAAGTCCCCATCCTGCCTTGTATACGTCCCCATTATCCCACTCTGCTGCCTTCACTCTCTACTTTTTGTTACTGAGACTACTGTACTTAATAAGAACATATCCACCCAAAGGGAAACAGAAAAATAACCCATACATACGTCACACTACTATCATATCAATTTATCACCTGACTTTTTCTACAAGCAAAAATTAGGGTAACCTCAGACCCTAAATGGATTACAGGGGTCTGAATCCATTTACTGTGGCTTACAAGTATGGAACATGGCTGCCATCACAATATATTGCTAAGTATCTAAATGTTAACAAATGCCGATAAGCCATTAAAGGGATACTATAGACACCAAGACCACATCAGCTCATTGAAGGGGTCTGGGTGCAGTGCCCCTGTCCCCTTGACCCTGCAATTGTAAATATTTCAGTTATTTATTAACGGCAATAATTACCTTGCATGGTTAACTCCATCTCTTGCTCTTATAGACAGCCACTATAGGCGCTTTCGGGTAGAAAAGTCGCCTAACTGAAGCTGGATGTCCTCACACTCTGCATGAGGACATCCAGCGTCATTTAAAACCCTATTGGAAAGCATTGAGAAATGCTTTCCTATGGGGTAGTCCTAATGCGAGCGCAGCACTCGCTGTGCAGGTACATTAAGTCTCCCCCCCCCTGCCGGGTGACGTCGGTGGATGAGGAGCGGTGGCAGGACATGGGCTCTGGAATCAGGTAAGTGACAGATGGGTTTTTAACCTTTCAAGCGCCATGGAGGGGGATTGGGTGAGCACAAGGTAGCAGGACATTATAGGTCACTATAGTACTAAGAAAACAACTTATGGTGCTACAATAATCAATGAACACAATGTTCACCAAGCAAAATCCTCCAGCTTTCTACCACGTTGGCAGTGGAAATAAGGAGAGTCATATGGATGTCTCGCTCGCTGATAGACTATCTCTAGACCATTTTTCTCTCTAAGGTTGGAAAGTATGTATTTTTGTTATCCTCAATGACCACTCAATGATTACTTCCACATGGGCACATCCCATCTCAGAGTTACTATAGCTGGCAAACAAGTTTTTCACCTGCTCTATTGAAATATCATTTTTGAGTTTGAAGAGTTCCTCTTCTCTGAGAAGGATAGGCAATGCATAAAACAGGTAGAGCACTTTTGGCAGGATCATCATCCTAAGTTCATAAACATGGTCTATTAATGAAGTATAATGAGGCAAATAAAGTCAAGAGAGACTGCAATTTGCAAAGAGTGACAAATTGGTACAATAATAAATTGCTGCTGTGTACCCTCACCCGCAATATTTTAGGTGAATAAATTTTGTTTCATATTAACCCTTATCCATTATCCCTTATTGAAATATTTAGTTCTTCACAATTCATTAAGTTTAGCCTTTAACCCGATACTGTAGAAAAATGTACCGTTAGTTCTTGGCAATGGATAACAGCACATCATCAAGAAAAAGACTTAATTACCTCGTAGTCTCCCACCCTTTGCAGTCACTGTAACACGACATCAGAACTGAGTTTGTTTAGTATGAGTGTGTGCTATTATAATATCATTTTAACCCTCACATTTTCAATATTAGTAAACCTTTGGATGAAGATATATTTATTTTAGATGTGGCCATGTATCTGAAGGAACTTATTGCCATTTCTGTTTACACCTTGGCATCCCATAATATTCCAATAACTTGAGCCCTACTTAGATGAATGCACTATAAAGGTAAGTGTACCTAATTTATCCAATGCATAACTGAGCTGTTCGGGCATTTAAAGACGTCCAGTGGGTTCACGTGTGGCTTACACCCTCCACCAAACATTCGATACAAGACCTGTACTTTCTATGGCTTAGATCTCCTTACAGTACCATCTCCTAAAAAAAAAAAAAAAAAAACTGGTCTTATGTAAATCGGTCCTTGTCTGGAGGGAGAATTAATCTTCTTACAGACTTTCTGTCTCTATACTGGATGGACACAAAGAGTCCTAAATCTTCTCTCACAACAATAGGATGCAGAAGGAAAATAGAAATCTTTCAATCATCATCATGGGTCAATTGATAAGATTTAGGCATGAAATTGTCATACCTCTCTCTCTGTAAGAGGAATCATCAAAATGTCCTAACCCTAATTCCTTGACTTCACTACTTAGATAACATGGGATTAAATCTTAAATTACTCTTTGCAGCGGCAGAACTACAGTCACCAGGGCCCTCAAGCTGTGGGAGCCCATAGGGAGGCACACGCACTTAGGGCCACCTGTTGGGTATGTCTGATCAGGGTCGGGTCGGGTGGTCTATACAGCTCACTTCCTCCTAACTTACCAGATAGTTGACTCTTTGTGTCCATCCACTATAGAGACAGAAAGTCTGTAAGAGGATTAATTCTCCCTCCAGACAAAGACCGAATTACATAGGACCAGTTTTTCATGCCTTTTATGCATATTCAGGTAGCCTTTCGTTGGGTAGCGCCCACTAAAGTGAATAAATGACTTTATAAAGTGAGACCAGATATCTCTGGCAAAAAAATACATATAAACATAACTAAATTAATTATACTTATATGCATATAGAAACCATGGATTTGTGTTACAAATATTAAATAACCTGGCTAGCTACAGATTGCATTATTATGTACTGAACACACAAAGGCCATCCTCGAGCGTAGATGTGTATTTGGGTTTTTAATTGCCATGCACCACCTATATAATTTATGAACTGATGTATGTAATGTTTGGAGAGAGAGAAAGTGTGTGTGTGTGTGTGTGTGTGTGTATGCACACATCTCATTATCAACAATACCAAACCAACCCACACATATTCCCCATGAAGTGTACTCACAGAGTACCTAATCAGTCATTCTCACACTCATAAATTCATACTCGACCTCTCTGTCACACATACCTATTCAGTAAAGCACCACACTCATGCATACATAGTGTTAACTGCAGATGGTTCTGTTAATGGAGCACACAGCATATCCTCACACCCGCCAGATCTCAAATCAGCCAGTGTCCACCACACACCCAGTAGATGGGATATATTTTACTGTGCTAACATTTGTCCTGGGGAGACCAAGCAGCCTCTGAAAAACACTGATGTACTATATTTCCTTTGACATTTAACCATATCCTTTAAATATTGTCCACTCGGAACATTCCACTGTCGAGCAGCTGTCTGTGGCTGACAGAACATCTCATGCAAACAATGAGAACGTGCTTCTATTCTAAATGCGACAATGATTAGAATTTGGCACACATTTATTTGATGTTGTGCCGTAGTATACTCCTCAAAGGAGCACCTGATGTTGTTGGTCTGGTATGTACGTAATTCGTTTGGCCCAGCCATTGGGTCATGGCATTGTCCTCAGTAATATGTCAGCAATGCAATGTCTAAATTCTTACACTCTGTGTGTTTGTTTGTGTTTGCAGTATGTCTGTATGTGTTGTGCTGGACTGATAAGTAGAGGTAAAGAGAGTGCACAGTCTATAGTAACATTCGATATGTGTTGCCTACTCCTTAGTGGATCTTTAAAAGACCACTATAGGAACCCAGACCACTTTATCTCAATTGAGTGGTGTTGGTTCCTTGGCCTTGATGTTTTCAGCCTGCACTGTAAAACATTTTGTAGATACAGCAATGTAGCTTCCTGACTGCCTGTACAGTGTGCTGTAACCAAGCTAAATGCGGTAATGTGATGTTTAACGTACTCAAGCATTTCATGAGGATGTCAAATGTCCTCTAATGCTGATCACAGAGAAGAATTAGACAAGCATTGTGATTGTCGCTTGGGAGAAGCATTTGCTTGGACGAGCATACATGCGCTTCTAGGATTGGATCGGACGAAAGGAAGACATGGAGGATAACGTCACTGGGGGCAGCATCTTGGCGCTGGAAAAAATTTAAGCGAAACCCTACTTTCCTATTTCTTTCAATTACACTTAGTGGGGCACTATATCTAAATCGGGAGAGGGACTCTACGGCATTATGAATATAAATATTCGCAATGCTTTAGTTTTCCTGTAAAATTGCCCAGAGCACAGAGTTCACAGCCACATGTGCAATTAATAATATAAAGGCACTGTGCATTATTTACTATGTTCTCTCCACAAGCATGGCGGCAGAGAATAGTCCCAGGCCAATGGTACATGGGTCGGAAATCATGACACTTAGCCCAAGAGGGACACTTACATTTAGGGGTGTGACAGGAGGTGTGCCTGGAGCGGGGAAATTATGGGACATT